AGTAAATGTTTCTAAAATGGAAGTATTGAGTAATAAGCATTAATCTAATATCAGTGAGGTGGTATCAGATGAAATGATAAAATTCAACAAATGAGCACATAATAGCTCTGAGAGATGCTAGTTTTCCTTCCTTAAAGTGTCTATAACCCTCTCCTGTTGAGATAGTGGATTATGCGTTTTAAAGCGGCATGTGCACTAAGCAGGGTAATACTCTGGGGCTGACTAGATGTTAAGGCGGTACTCTGTAGGGCCTGACTTTTTTCTGCTCTGAGATTAGCAAGATCTGGGCTGCTATGTTGAGGTTCCCTAAGCTCCTTATTTCCAATGACTATGAGGACCTTTTTTTTTTCCCCCTTTAGAGACGTAGTTTCTCTATTTTGGTAGTGTAAGGAGGTTGTACTTTGAAAATAGGGTGGAAAGAAGAAAAATGGGGTAAAACATCCAAGTCACTTTTGTTTTAAACAAGGAATCTACCAGCAGCATGAAGACCAGAGCTAAATTACTGTGTGTGTGTGTGTGTGTGTGTGTGTATGAGTGTGTTTAGTAAAAGTTTCTTTTTAGCATATCCAGATATGCATATGCGATGGCAAGATGAAGCCTAAAGCTAAGAACTGACTTGGTCAAAATTAAAGCTTCCAACTGGTTCGCAACATCTTTTGTTATTTGGTCAAGACTAAATCCAGGCAGATGATTTTTGATTCTAAAAACCTCTTCCCATCACATTATTACTCATTAAGCATTCTTTCTAACCTTTTCTAAGTTCAAATTTTACGTAAAGAAAAATCAGTACAAAAAGCAATTGTGGAAAAACCCATTAAGGAGGCAATGGGTGGGGTCAGGAAGAGGATGACTGCCTGTGCAGTGTGCAATATTCCCAGGGTACCTAGGCCACAAGTGTACTGGTAAGCAGAAATCTTTTTATGGAGACTTATTCAGGTATCTAGATTCCTTAAAGTGGTATGAACAATGTCTTCTAGAATAATGCCTGCTCTTACCCATCCGACAATCCTCTCCCTGCCCCACAATCCTCACACATCACCATCTCTGGTGTTCCAGACCCAACTTAGTAGTCATGAGCATGAGGCTATTTCCAGTGCTGGGCACAAAGTCAGCACAGAACAGTTCATTTATTTGACTCCTATTTATGCTCCTTAAGTGTGGTCTGGTTGCAAAGTAGAAGGGAGAAAGCTCAGTGTTACAAGCTCACCCTAGATAGTTCTCACAGAAAAGCTTGATTCAGTAATTTTTGTATTGTTAAGAAGTCATATTGAACTATATGGGACAAGTAGGCTTGAATTATGTTCAGAGGGATAGGGATGCTTGGTTTAAAGCAAGGAAAGAAACCTGCCGGGGGGCAGGGGAGGGGGAGTCTATGGATTACGTCTAGTGGATTAAGTCACCACTGACACCCTGACATTCACACAGGAGTCCTGACTACTCTGCTTTAGATTTAACGTCCTGTAGAGCACCTTGGAAGGTAGCCCCAGCAGATCAGAATGGAGCTCCTCTCTTCAACTTGGCTCAGCCCTAGCTATTGTGGCCATTGGGGAAAGACCAGTGAATGAAAGCTCTTCTCTCCTCTCTATTCCCACTCCCATCATTCTACTTTTCCAATTAGAAAGTTTATTTTAAAAATCCATCTGGAAGAGGAAACACAACTAAGAACTGTTACAAATCATTAGATTCTTCCTCTGGGGTTTTTCAGCACCCATGAGCGTGAATGCTCTTTATCTAATCACATTCTCCCCACGATACTTTTAGAGGCTTGGAAATTCTGAGAGTAAATGGAGAGACTTCCACTGAACAAGTCATTTACAAAGAAAATCACTCCTACATTTGAATTTTGATGTAATTTCCAAGTCACCAGTATCACCCTTTTTTCTTTGTCATCTGCAAATGCCAGAAACAAGCCAAAAAGGGATCGCCTTACTAGGGTCTCGATTCCATGCATGACCAATGGCGTTTGTAGCTAGGGCAATGTTCTAGCACTGTTTGACCAACATTATTTTTAGCTTATCAAGTCTTCCAAATCTTAACAGTAAAATGCAATGATAGTTATCACAGGGAAAGAGAAAGGAAGCCACTATTGTGCACAATAGAAGGCAGGTGTCCACCCCTTGCCACAGTGACTTCTTTGGTCCCTTCTAGCCTAGGACATATTCAGTGATGGATTCAATTTTTCTTTATGTTTCAATGACCTACTTTTTCCTCAGAAACTTCAACTCAACTGTATGGTGCTTGAGAATGAACCCATTCATTGTTATTTGAAGCTCATCACTGCTCTTTCTTAAATCTCCTGGATATGCTTTCAGGATTCAAAGGAAAATTCTCATTTTTCTAGCCTCAGTGGAAATTTCACTTAGATAAGTGCAAACTAGTGGCAAAATATCAGCAGCAGGTGGATTCAGTAGGTTACACTTCTAGGGGTTTCAAACTCCAGCCTGAGAATCAGAATCATTTGGAGAGCTTTTTCAAAATGCAAAGTCTAAGGTCCTAACTTAGGAACTTCTCATTTGATGATCTGGAGGGAGATCTGGGTATCTTTCTACTTAGAAAGTTCCATATTTGCAGAATATGGATGCAGAAAAACATGAAGATATAAGAGACGTGGCTAGATATATGGGCCTAGAAACTAGAATGATGAATGCTGAAAAGAAAAGAAAAAGAGGGGTGGGAGGGAGGGAGGAAGAAGAAAGAGCCAGAAGAAGGTCAAGGCAATTAAAGAAAAGGTCTGAAGGCAGGCGCACTGGGCTGGGAGGGGTTTCTCTGGGAGAAGATTCTATCATGAATAACCAAGTAGGGGACTCATTGTCAGTCTTAGGTATGGTAAATGTGCATGTCATACACACGCACTTGCTGGCCACTATGAAAAGATGCTGGGAAAAATCAGAGAGAGGCACGATCCCTGAGCCTGGGATTGTTCCTTCATCTGAAACAATTTTTTTTATCATGTGCAGTCTGAGCTCTATTGCACACCCGAGTGTGTGTGCGCACACACACAGACATGCCAGAGGAGAAAGCACAACACAGCTGCTGAAAATTGGTAGTTGCTGTAGTGTGCTTCTTTCCATTCCCCACTCTGGCTGTCATTTTGACAGTGTTTCTTTGGGCCACATCTGGCTGGCAGGGTATCAAAGGACTTGTGGGGGAATGGAAGGGTGCTATAAAAAAGATCACAAAAATACATCAAGACCATCAGCAAAGTAAATTTTATCTATTTCTCCCCTCCCCTCCCCACCACCCACCTACCCCCCAGTGCCACCCTGCCCACAATCTGATGCTGTAGAAATATGGTCCGATCCAATCACACATTCTCTGGCTCAGCAGCAGGGATTGCCTATTTGCAGAATGATGGCTCTGTCCTTGGCTGGCCATGATCATCCAAGGCAGAAACACCAGTTAGAGCCATTTGGGACTCTGATCTGCTATGTTAAATAAAATAAAATGTACTCAAGTATAGTGAGTCAACTCTCTATGTCTACAGATTATTCAAATCAAGTCCTTATGGAACATGCATCTGAAAAATGTTCTCCAATAATTTGTTATAGTTTGAGGAGCAGCTGATCTGATCTTTGTTTTCTGAAAGCATCAAAATGCATCAACATTGTCATAGCACGAGCTCTAGTCACACCAGACTTATTCAGTTTAGAATTTCATCTGCTCTCCTAAGCTGAGCTTCATAGACTAAACTGGATTTCATTAATGCCTGACTCCTGAGATCCCAGGAACACCTCTTGCACGCAAAGATGAAAATTCAATCTAGGTTTTTTTAGGTTGAAGTCATCATAAACAAAGGAACGAATAACATGCAACACTGAGTTTTGTCATGTCAACGCTAACGTGACATTGTAAAAAAGGCAATTCTGAATCAACAAGACATGATGCTTATGAGAAAATGTAGAAGATAACATCACATCTTCTACACTGCTACAAAACTCTTCCTTCCAACTCAGAAAGAAGTCGACACCTCTCTTGGCGTTGACTCCCTTCTATCTGGCAGCTCTGCTCCATGGGAAGGCATTCTCTTCCATCTTACTCTTTTCTGATTTCATTTGTAGACACTTCTCCCTAAGCAAGCTCTTGGATTGTTTGCATGATGGCCAAATAAATTTGACTATTTGCAAAACTCTGAGAGAGATGGCATTTTCAAGATTGGCAACAAGCTTCATTCACTCTCCTTCTGGAGAACAACACTGGATTCTGGCCACTGATTTCTCAGGCTGAAGCAGGAGACACTACAAAGAATGTATTTTCTGGAGGTTTTACAAATAATAGACTTGCTTCTGCCAGACTGGAGACAGCTCAAATATGGAGTGTGTATTTGCTTATGGAATAGACTGTCTATGGATCTGGCACTTCAGTAGCTCAAAGGTTGGCAAAGTCCTGCTGGCTGATGGATAATACAAAGGCATCTTTACAGTACAGGGAGAGAGACTATTGATTGGCTGGCAAGCAGGAAGTAATATTTCTAAATACACTTCACATAACCAGCAGATTGTTTTGCTAACAGTAGAAGTTAAGGGAAAATTAAGAGTGAGTAATAAAAGTGCAACAACCTGCCTAAATAATGCTACACAATTCAGCATTTTTTTTTAGATGACCAGGCCTAGCATTTCCTGTTATCCCTAAGGATTTTTACTTGTCTTCTCTGGTTCTATCTTATTGGGAAGGAGGCATAATGGAAGAAGACTTGAATAGAACTCTGTGACAGTTTTGGTCAACTCATTCATTGAATACTGACTGTGTATTCATGTTTTTTGCACTATGGTTTGTCCAACTGAAACATGACATTTTTCTAAGGCTGGTGGGCAGGGAAAGAGGACTCATTAGAGTGAAAGGTTCATGCTTTGTTTCTTAGGCACAACCTGGAAGAAATGAGACACTCATCAACCATTAAATCACAATGTATAGGTGACTTCAAAATCATGGGGACAGGGAAAGGGAGGTGTCAGGACAGGTATGCACTCCTTGCCCTGTATTGAGCATCTCAAGCTACATACCCAGTACAGCACGTCAGTCCAGCCCTCCATGGTGATACACTGGAACACCGTCAACATGGCGAAAGCAAAATTGTCAAAGTTGGTGATGCCGTGCTTGGGTCCGTCCCACCCTGGCTTGCACACTGTGCCGTTCTGGCACTGTCGCCCATGGCCCGTCTCCAAAGCACAAGGGGAAGGATCATCTTCTGCTGGGACATCTCCAATGGCCAAGGGAAAAGAGAACGAGGGAATAGAAGGGATGGGGAGAAGGGCAGAGAAAGAACACAAAGTTAGGGAGAAATGTGAAAGGAAAAGGCTGATGAGGTGACTAAGGTGGACCTAGCAACCATAATCCAGACAGGCTTTTATTAGTTCCTCCATCTAGGAACTGAAGAGCACCAGGAACTTGGGCATTCACTTCAGGTGTTGTTACTGATTTAGAAGGATGACTCCAAAGAGTTGTTATAAAACTGTATTTTTATTTCAGACATTGATTTCAAAGATAGTAGGACTAATGCCCATCCTATTACAACATGTCAGTATCACAGTCAAATACTCACTTGAGAAATTATAATGATGCAACCACCTCAAATAAAAGTTGTCCTGGAAAATGACAAAATCCACATTTTCTTTCCTTTTTGGTGGTAACATAACCATATACATTTCTGTTGGGTCATCAGAGTATTCAAAGATGAGGGCCAGACTAGTGCTGACTTGAAGACTCCATCACACAGTTAATTAGTCAACTGTTCCCATCCAATAATGCCTCCTGACTCCATAGAGACTCATTCTATCACAAACCATATTATGCAGTACCACAACTTAGTGGAGCCTTGTACCGATGAAGAATTAGGGAAATAACTCTATAGAGGAGAAACCTCAATACAGCAGTCCTTATTACAATTTGTGGCTATCCACACTCCTGGCTGTATTTCATGTGCAGCAGGCAGAGCTGTGCAGTGCTATCCTTTACTCTCCAATGTCAATGCCTTTTAACAACAACAACAACAACAATCCTTTCCCAATCTCTCCCCAAGACAGAGTGTCAGTAGAAGAGAAGGAGATGATTTCTGAGATATAGGTGGGGATCTTTCAGGAAATGGTAGAATACGTTGTCCTGAAGAGTCAGGGGACATTTGAGTTGATTCCACCTGTGGGAAATGGTGACAAGCAACTGAACAAGGTGAGATGTGGATTACTAGTGCCAAGGGAATGGTTGGAAACTTTAAATAATACTTCACTGCTATAAGAACTCAATCATGGTAAAATACTGGGGAAGTTTTGGCTTCATCTGTAACAGGTATGGAGTTCACAGAAGTTTGTGAAATTAAGGTCACGGTCTTGTATTCATTGAGAATGATGACAACGGCAAACAGAAGAGACGTCAGTTCTGACAAACAGAAACATGTTTGTTCATCGGTCTTCATTTAGAGATAGTCGTTCACCCAGGATCTTTTCTTGTTTCAGATGGAACAAAGCAAGCACAAGTTTCAGACATTTGCCTGATGGACACTGGCTGTGCACTGGACATCTATTGGTCAATTGGCTATTCTCTGATTCTGGCTTTTAATTTGAGACTACTCACTTCCAAGGGGAAGACGGGAAGAGAAATATTAATCTTTAAGGATGACACAGTTGTTAAAGAACAGAGTGAGATCTGCGGCCAAAATTATATGGGGCAGTGGTGGTGGCTTCTTTTCTTCCTCTTCTGCCACGCTCTCTTTTTCTCACTTTCTTTGACCACTTCATTGAAATATAATTGGCATGCCTTAGAAATTCATCAATATGAGTTTTCTTCATAAATTTGAGTTGTGCAGTCATCACCACATTCCATTTAAAAACACTTTCATCCATCCCCTAAAATTGAGTATCTGTCCGCAGTCAGTCCTTACTTCTGGTCCCAGCTCCTGGCAATCTGATCTGCATTCTCTATCCATAACTCCGCCTTTTCCAGACATTTTATACAGTCATTTGTATGAAATCACACATCATGTGGCGTTCTGCTTCTGCCATCTCCTGCTTCACCTAATCGTACTGGGCCCTTCAGTGTTGTTGCATCTGTCAGCAGAATCTGTTCCTTGCATGATCCAGCAGTGTAGCCATGGTGTGTTTTGCCATTTGCCAGTGGAAAGGCATTGGGCTTACTTCTAGCGTTGAGCTCTTATGAATAAACCTCATCCTGGCCTTATGGCTGGTCCTATAAAGTTGTGTGTCCGTCTTTTCCTACCCTGCTGCTTCAAGCTGTCTTTTGTTTCTTGAATAAAATCAAAGTCCATTACTGGTCCTTGTTGTATTTCAGAGAATGACAGTGTGTACACCATTTTCTCATTCCAGGACCTGGCTCCAAAACAGGATTCTGTTATTATAGCTGTATTAACCCACCCTCTATCCAAAAATTTGTGATGATTTTTGAAGTTGTGAAATCTCTAAAATTTGGAAGCAAGGATTAAATAAAAACTAAAAGGTGAAGCTGAAGCTTAAAGGATACATTAAAAAGCAGAAAATAAGTACTTTAAAATTTGCGAATGGAGAGTCTAAATGCCAAAAAAAGATCATTTCTCACTCAATCTAGAAATAGCTTTCTAGACTGATATGCCCAGTTGCTGTGATGAAAGTGACTGAGTGACATGAGAGAAGGGATAAAGAAAAGGATGAAGACAACAAAGGGGAAACTGGCTTTTTCCCCCTCATGTTTTGCTCCTGAGTGGAATAAAGAACTGCACATCTTCACATTGTGACTGCTACTCTGTCTGTATCAACTGCACTCTTAGTTCCTACAACAGCAAAAATAAGGGGAAGGCTGCCCAGTGTCCTCAAGGAAAGAAAACACAGTGGTGGATTCCACAAACATGTGTTAAAGAGAAAATGATATCAGGGGAAGTGATCTTATTAATAAAAGAGAATGGACTGTGATTCAGAGAGATTATCTACAGGCTCAAGTGTGGTTCTGCTATTTTAAATCTGTCTTGAACAACAATAAAAAAAGATTGGAGAACAATTAAGAAGCAGTGATGAGCTGGTAAAAATAGGTATCTATAAAAAGCACAAATGGAACACTTGGAAAACATTCACACACACAAACGGGCAGATCCCGGCAACATGTACTCCAGGGTGAGGGGGAAATGAGCTTCAAGATAAAAATGTGATGGTTTTCTTTTGTGGAGTCACGAAGTGTCAGGAAGGAAGCTGGAACCTGAGTTTGGAGAAGGAATCAAAGCAACACCAATTCTGCATTTTGAAACAGAAATGAACACGGTGGGCACCATTCTGGAGAATCCAAATACAAATTTTGGTGAAATAAGCCAAACACAACATCAGTTCTTTTTTTTGAGTTTCAACTTTAAGGAGTGAATAGAAAGGAAGTGACTTCTTCCCTAGGCTTCACCAACCAATTCTTTGTCCATCCAAGTGGTAATGACTGTGCTTGGGAGAGCTATTCAGAGTGACCTGGCACACAGCGCTGTCAAACAGATGGGACAGGCAGAAACCAAAAGGACCGGCATATGGGGATATATTTGTTGAGGAATCAAGAATGTGTCTCACAGATGCCCCAGGCATTAGGGAGAAAACCCCTCCTCTTCTGAGGGAATCTTCACTGGGGACTGCCCACTGCAAGGGCAACCTGCAGCAAAGCGACAGCCCCAGTTGGCTCCACAGTGATTGTATATTAACTGTACAGGAGACATGGCCCAAAATCTACCATATTCTGAAGGCTGTGGTGCATGACAGGCACAATCTGTGAAATCATATCCAAATGTAAAAAAAAAAAGAATCTGATATAAATTCCATTAAAGGATTATATAACAAGGACTCACAGAGAACTTCCACCTGATCTAAAAATTTGGAAACTATGCTCACTCTATCCAGATCAGAAGATCTAATTCAATCAACCAAATATTCCGAAGGTTACACAAAGCTCCCAACACACAAGAACTGGTTTCCAAGACCGCAGGGTTTTAGTCTTCTATCCTGTGGCACATGTTACATGTCCAAAGGTCTTGTATGCTTTTCTTTGCTCATCAGGGCAGGTCAGTGCACGCCCTGTGGGAAGTGATGGAGTACATCTCTGGGTCATCTTCAGATGGTAGGTCCTAGGACAAGGAGGTGAGTGAGCTTTTGATTAGGCAATGCTGGAGCATGCAATCTGCAGCTAAGTGTCCTGGGCCCCTTTCCCAGCAGGGATCCTGGTTCCATACACCAGAGTGACATCACCTTCCTGGCGGAGATGGCATGTTACCTTCTTTGGAGCACTCTTCTTGCTGTCCTCCGATACCCTGGCTCTCTCTTGGATGATGGTCATTCCATAATGGGAGGCTGTTTCTCTTCTGAACGTGCAAAATGAAGACAAATTGACAACTCTGACTGGTAAGCTCAAACTTTGTCTTTCTCCCAAGAGTTGAGGAGGTCATTAATGGTTCCCATGCTGGGGGATGTATGTCTGCTGGATTCACTGCTTGTAGCCATGACTTTGTTTTTCAAGGCTTGAGACCCTATTTACAAAGTCCAGTGACTTCCAACCAACATTCAGAGTTGCTACCAAAGAATGTTGTGCCAGTAGCAGACATTGAGGATACTTCATAAGGTTCACCAGGTTGTCTTTCAAAAAGGAATCAAAAACAAGTTAATTTTGGTGGGAAAAGGTTGAGGTACACGACGTCAAACCATTCTTGGAAAATCCATTTTGTGACTGAAAGCTCTCCTTTTAATTTTACTTTTCCACAAATTTTCTAGGTGCCCTTGTACTTTTACGATTCCCTAAGTGGAAGAGAAATCAGCTGAGTTTCAGGGGCAGCTATCATTGAATTCTTGGTGCACACACATCTGAGTGTATGATGGAGTTGCCACGTTTGGCTCCAGCACACAATGTCACCACTTCACCTGTTCCCATTTTCTTGGTGAAAGCTGTTCCACCATCATGCCTTGGTATATTAATGGGGAATCCCCATCTCTGGTGCATTTGAGTCCAATTATTTCTTCAACCTGCAAACACTTTAGACAATCTACATTTAAGGAGGTCTTGGAATAAACTTTCAAAACTCTATATGATTAATATAAATATATTCATTCTGCTCTTATATTCTCTCTCAAAACAGTAAAAATGAATGTGTGATCCAGGGACCACAGTTTACAGGTTTGTGTTTTTTCCCCTTTCATTTCCTTTTCTTTTATTATTTTTTTAACTATGGCAAGAACCCAGACACCTGGCAGATGCCAAGGCCATCCACCCAGTCACGCTGGATTACCCATAGTATCATTTTGGGCTTTCATGGTAAACAATCTATCTCACTCCTTGTTCAATAGGGGTTCATGCTCTTATTCCCCAAAGCAAGAGGTATCAAATCCAATTTAATGCCTGGGATGAATGGGAAAAGAAGTTATGCAGAGAGAGTATGAGATGAAGAACCCCTCAATGCTCTAAGCAGATGCTGCCTCACTCCCAACGCCACAAACTAAGATAGAACCTGCTGCTGGAAAAACAATTCTATGTTGAAGATTGCTAAACCTTGTGGGTCCAGGAATGCTAAACTGCTTTACATGTCTGTTTAAAAGCCTTGTCAATTTCTGTTAAGGTCAAGCTGAGATGTTACTTACTTAAGACAGGAGTTTGTAGCATATCCCATGAGCCCACACTCCAGTGCTACTTAGGGATGCACTTAATGAGCTTGTATTACTGTTAAATGTGTTGCGTTAGGAGAGGAACATGAAGAGAGAGGTTTCAAAAAAGAAAGGACTGAGCAGTCATGACAATGTGCAAAATTTTGGCCATGAGAAAAAGAAGTTGGGTTGTTAGCAAGGGAACAACTCCATACCTGCCCTCCTCCTCAACCTCAGGAGGAGGGCCTGGGGTTTTCTGCCTGCAGAGAAGAAATACCGATTGAAGAAGATCCGGGATGGGCCCTGGGAGGACAGAAAGGCCTCAGTGTCATGATGAGAGAGCATATTCCGTGTGGCTAGTTGACCAGCTGCTTGGGAGCTCTTGGACACTCATGGAACATTCCAGGTGTTGGGTCTCCAAGGCAGAAGGAGAGAGGGGCAGTACTGTCTCCTGAAGGGGCTTTGGCAATAAGCCATCCTGAACTGTGGTTGCAGAGGCACGCAGACGCCAGCTGGTTCTGATGCTTAGGAGATCCAAGATGTGGCTTAGACAGTGAGAGGCTGACAACAGATAGGCTCTTCATTCTTCAAAAGTTTCTCCTGTTACGGAGCTCATTCTAATAGTGTTTAATGATTCTGAACTAGGTTAGCACTTGGCTATTTTAACAGAGACTTACAGTAAATATTGCAACCAAGAGAGAAAAGTACCTACAATTGCCTCCCACTGAATCACGGAAGGAAACATGGTCCTCTGAAGAAGGGTCCTTGCTGGTCATGGTTACTAGGGTGACAGCAGCACATTGAAACAAGATATGAGAACACTGTAGACCTGAGCACCTGCCATCCAGCCAGGCACCCTCCTCTTACCTGCTATGCCCTCCTGGTTGTAACACGTCTTGTGCATCTTCCCCATGAAGAGCTCTAGGCCGATAATGGCATAGATGATGATGACAAACAATACTAGCAGGGCAATGTGCAGCAAGGGGACCATGGCCTTGATGATAGAGTTCAGGACCACCTGGAGACCTGCAGAAACAACAGTGAGAACATCAGTTTGCACAGAGTCCAGGGCTTTTGCAGATGCCAATGGACTAATAAGATGGACATGACCTCACATATCCTCCTTAGGGTACAAGGAGATTTTGGTACAACCCCAGTTTTGATATAACAAACTGAGACCCCAAGTCACACATCAGTGAGTGATAGAGTTGGGTTTCTGAAATGAGGTTATTTTCCTCCAAAACCTGAGCTGGAGGCACATCCATGCAAAAGGACTGGCAGATCCTGCACTTCTGAAGGAAAAACATGTTGCTTTCAGGAATAACCATCAAATCTACTATCTCACTTTATAGATGACCTAACATCATTTTGTGCCAGAGCAGTGTCTCCATAAAGACAGAACTCAAGTTGATGAGTGAAAGCCATGCGGGGATGCTGTGGTCTGGACCCAGAGAAGCCCATGTATCAAAAGCTTGACACCCCCAAATCTTATGCTCAAAGAGAGAAGACACTTAATCTGACGATGGTATCTTGAAGAGGAGGCTCTAGCAAGTGACTAGATTAGATTAGGTCTGTAGGGTAAGTCCTGAGAGCCAATCCTGGTAGCTTCAAAAGGAAAGACATAGACACTGTCTCTTACTGCAGGTACTCTGTGCCACCTGGAGACTCTACTAGCAAAAACACAGATACCAAATATCCAACCAATTTGATCACCAGTGTTAGACTGTGAGCCTCAAAAACCATGAACTAAAACAACCCCTTTCTGTTTATAAAGCTTCTTGGGCATTTTGTTGTAGCAATAAAGAACTGACTAACACAAGGGATTTGTTCAGTACTCAAGGTTAGATTACCAGCCCTCACTGGCCCATTGCTGGCCCATCTGCAGCCCTCGCTGGCCCATCTGCTAAAATACATCATCAGCCTGACTGCAAAGCGCTTTCTATGCTAAAAGTGGCCCACAGATAAGACACACCAGGGTGGTGAGAGCTTGGTGACAAAGCTGTAGAATAGCTTTGGATTGCATGACCAGATTATTCTCTATGGTATGCGTCTACCAGCCCATACTCTCAGGGCCCATGTTTAAGGACACTAAAGCCCCAGGAAAATGGACTTTTTGCCCAATGGATCCAGAGTTTCAGTTTGGGAAAATGAAAAAAAAATGTCCCGGAAATTAATGAGAGATGCTTAAGCAGCCATATGAATGTGAGGGGACTTGAAAAAAGGTTGTAGAAAAATGAAATTAGAAATTTATTATGTTGCAAACTCTTTTAAAAAAAATTACTCCAATAAAGGGTCTTCAAATAACTCATGGAAACATGAATTATATAAAAAAACTATGCATGGATTTCAAACATTTTTGTACCAAAATAAACTTTTCTTTAATTCCACTGTCTACAAACTTTTTTGAAGCATGTTTAAAAATTATTAAAGTGCTATTTCTTACACATATATTATTACATTTACTCTTTTTGTTGATGATTTTATTTTGTGGCTTTTCATTTAAGGGGATGTACAGTAACTGTGTAATGAAAACTATCATATCCAGTAGCATATTATTTAACTTCATGGCATTGTAAATTTCTATTTTTTCTTCCTGTTGTTGATTTTGTATTGTGTCTTTTCATTTAAAGGGATGTATAGTAATTGTGTAATGGAGACTATCCATCCATGTCCACAATGATAGACATATGACTATTTATGAAGAACTATACTATAGTAATAAAATTGAGGAACTCAATGGGTGGGGAAGGAAGTTTGGGGTGGGGATAAGGGAAATCCCAGGGCTTATGGAACTGTATCATAAAATGATGATAATAATAATAATGTATCTATATTTTAAAAAGTTTAAAATGCACCTAGATCCTTCCAGGGGGAGGGAGGAGGGAAAGAGTAGCTGAGAAGCCCAGGGAACACATGGTTCTTGGTGGTGGTGAGCTCCAGTGGACACAGAGCTGAACAGCTGTCTAATAGGGAGAAGGAGTCCCTGATTTATAAGTTCAGCCTGACCATAAATAATGCATCAAGACAGACTCCCTGGAAGGAGATGTGGCAGGTCTCCACTTGAAAATAGCAGGGAGATTGTTCCTGGCAAGGCAGCCCCAGATTCCATCCAGCTGCAAGCAGTCCTGTCTACTGTTTAGTGCACCAAGTCACCACATGCTAGGAGGCAGAGAGCAAGTGGCCTTATCTTCCCTTCTTGCTGGCTGTGTGGAAAACCATCTCATGGGTCACCCACCACACCACACCACACATGTAACTGCTAGGGTCTCCCCAATGGAGCTAACCCCCAGTATCCCTCAGCACAGCCACACCATCCTTCCACCTTCTGAGTGAAGGAAGCCTCATCCTGGCATTCTCTGTACACTTGTCACTGGGCAAATAGCTGTTGGGTCCCCTGTTCCCTGATGCTCTGTATTCTGGAGGGGTGGTTAGGAGAATTCTCCTCAGCAGTTAAGCCAAGTTGGGGAGAAAAAGAAACTAAAAAAAAAAGTTGGAATAATTTTACCTGTGAATTAGCAAGAGTGCTTTGCAGCCTCCCATTAGAACAAGATGTTTTCAGCTCCAAATGAGTCCATTAATTAGCAAGTTGTACACACATTAGTGTTAAAGTATGCAAAACCATGGAGAAAATGGAACTGCAAAGTAACTTCTAGAGGTTTCTGGGAAACCTCTCTCTCTTTCTCCCTCCCTCCCTCCCTCCCTTTCCCTTCCTTTTCTTCCCTCCCGCCCTCTCTCATTTCTCTGCAGCTCAGCGGGCTCCTGCCCCTGTCCTGGCTCTGGATGACTGGCAAGGAGAGGGGGGTGAGGACCCACAGTTGTGGGAAGCAGCATGGGAACTCTCAGCTGGGGAGCTCCCATGGCACTGAGGGCAATGGGGGAGACTCATCAAGGGAAGCAGGGTCTCTAGTGCGACTCAGGAGAGAGTGGAGGAAAATCCCACAAACCAGCAAGCCAGGTCACCAGGGTCCCCAAAGGGAGAGAAAACAGCAAGTGGGGCAGATAAGGACATAACCAACACATTCTCCTAGCCTCCAGGTCTACTGCTAACGGGTAATGATGTCACTTGCTCTTGGGGGTCACGACCACAGTGCATCCTGTGCCATTCCCGGTTCTATACTCTATGTGCCTGTTTATAGTCCCTCTCTGTACAATCCAGTCACGCAGCTCTTCCATTAGAGACTTGGCTAAGGTACCATGCTGCATGTCCCATGCTGCATGGTATTTTAGTCAGCACCAGTCACATGTCTTTATGGTGGCTCCATGAGATTACAATGGAATGGAAAAATGCCTTCTGCCTGGTGAGTTCACAGCCCTGACTTTACAAAGGCACTGCTACCATGGGCATGGTGAGGAGGGTCCAAACACTGCCAGCCACATATAAGCATAAATAGTTATGTACAGAACAGAATTCCTGATTGTGGCAACAAATGACTGCTTCTGGTTTATGCGTCAACCAAATTGTATTTTGTTTTTAACTGCCACACAAAAAGTCACACATATTTCTGGGGGTGCTGTGTGATGCTTCAATACATGTATATACTATACAATTTCCCTATCCCAGCAAACTTACTACTTTCGACATTTATTATTGTGCTAGCTATATTTTTATTTTTGCCTTAGTGCATACTCCTACTGTCACAAGAAACCACTCATTGTAAAACAGTATGCTATACTGGCCAACTAGAGCCTTGCGTATCTTACATTTCAGCATCTCCTGACTGCACCAAGAAGCCACCTTGGGTTACTAGGCCTGCCAAAGTGCACACAAAGTACAAAGCGTGCATTGTGATGTTCGCACAGTGACATGACCCCTAACGATGCAGTGCCTGCTCACTGCTGAGTCATGTGCATCTTATTTCTTCCCTCTATGGTGCTGTCACACGTGTGTCCCTCTACCTGGAAGACAATTCCTACCTGCCTCCAGTGTACCCTTTAGCTCTCCACCCAGATAATACTTCTTTAGGGACCCTTCCCCACGTTCCCAAACCAGAGAAATGCCCTTTGTTTTGTCTTCTCAGAACTACTTCCTTTCTCTTGGAGCATTCCTTTCCGTTTGAAAGACCTGTCTAAAATGCATCCACTGCCTGGCCCTTTTGGCTGAGACTTGTGAAGATGGGGATCTTGAGTGTTCTTCTCTCCCTCATCTTCCCGGAGCCTGGCTGAGCTCTGAGCATTTGGCAGGCGCTCTGTGAGTATTTGCTGAAGCAGTAGCAACACTCATCATCTTGCTCTATTGGGTCATGTGGACTTTGCTGCAATGGGGGTCTGCTTACGGAGAGGTAGAGAAGGAACAGCTGGACTTCAGGGACTGTGGGGCAGGACAGAAGCTGCTGGGCAGGCTGTGATGTGGCCAGATGGCAGTCAGGGCAGTTGGTGGACTTCCTTTCAGTGGCCAATGGTGCCAACCACCTACTACACAGTGCTCCAGGCCTCATGTTCCCCCTCCCTCATATGTGGGTACTCAGGCCAGAATATGGATTTCTTCAACTCCTCCCTCCCGTCAGCTACCCAGTACTGTTGGTTGGATTCTAAAATATCTTTACACATGAATAAATGATTTTTACTACATAAATAATACACACTAATTATAGAGTGAAATAGAAAGCGCTAATTAAACAGAAATTAGAAAACACAGAGAACAAAATGCAATCATTCATCCTACCCATTTGAGACAACCACTGTTAGTCCTTTTGTATATATTTCAGACATTTAGGTTCATGACTCATTTTCCCTCTGCATCCTCTTGGCATCTGCTGTTCAGCAAACTGGTCTGCTCCAGACTGTGGTTCAGAAGCGGTCACTAAAGCTCACAGCACAATGTGTCACTTTCGAAAGTCCTCTACTGACTCCCTAGACAGGCAGAGCTGCCTCTTCATTCAGTTTGCTTTCATATAACTGCCAGTTGACACCTAGCACCTGCACAGTACACCTAGCCTGAAATTTCAGCCTCACACCCCTATGTCTCAGTGCAGACTCTTCTTGCTTAGAATGCCAGTCCTTGCCCAACCACAAGCTCCTTGGTTTTC